GCGCCAGCTTTTGGCTCTCCTTTGATCCTAGCTGGCTCTCCTCCTTCCATTCCCTCTCTGTTTCCACTCAGTTCTGTTCAACCCCCTTCACTTCTGTCTTCTCTCTCTGCTCTCATGGCTTAACCTTCTCTTCCCACTCCTAGTACAACTGGAAAGCAAATCAGAGAAGGCCTTAGTGCTAGCTCAGGAATTTCTCTTCATCTACTTGAAGACAGCCGCTTCAAGTCACTCCGGTCTCCTCAGAAGGGCAGCTTCCATGTGTAGATACCAGGTCTTCTTCGAGAGGAAGCACCTTGTAAGGAAATCAAGGTGGTGATGTAACTATTGGAGTTTCTCTTCTTTAAATGGAACGGAACAATGTGGTAGCTCACTCCTGTATCCCAGAACTGGTGAGGGGGAGGTAAGAGGATTGTGAGTTCAAGGCCAGCCTAGGCAGCATAGCAAGAGCCCGTCATAAAACAAGACTTAATAAAACAGAACAAAACACTGGGATAAGAAGGTGTGGGAAATGTATTTCAAAGGCTCTACTTGGTGTTTAAGAATGGATTCTATATTTTAGTATTATCATTACGAAGTCGGAAAGTCGGCTGGGCATAGTGGCACATGTCTCTAATCTCAGCATTTAGGAGGCAGAATCTCTATCTACATAGTGAGTTTCAGGACAACTGAACTACAAAGTGAGACCCTGTCTCAAAAACAACAAACAAAACAAAAGACGGTAGAAGTCTCTAATCTTTCTTGACCAATCGATACTTCTGCTAAATAGGCAAGAAACCAGGTGCCAGAGTCTGGACCCGATGAGAACTGGGCTCTCAAGCTCAGTCAGTCCATCCACAGGCTCAGAGTCTTGGCGTGGAGTCGGCATGGAATCCATGAGAACCAGGTTCTCAAGTGCAGTCAGTCTACCCACAAGCTCCGAGTCTTGGCATGGAGTCGGCCTGGACCCGATGAGAATCAGGCTCTCAAGCGCAGCCCATCCACAGACTAGTAATCTTGGCATGGTCCAGGTCTGTACCTGAGCTAGACTGTGTATCTCTCAGGGGTTCAGCCAAGACATCCTGAAGAAGCAGAACTTGAGTAAACCTGTAGATTTGGCTACTGGATAGCCATTTGTAGACAATAAACAGAAATATGGAGCAGAGACAGAAAAGGGGAACGGAACAGAGGCACATAGAAGGGGACCGTACTATGAAGGGAGGCTTGCAAATATCACAAGAGCACTGGAGATCTGTCTGGGCTCTGCTCTTGAGGCTGACTTTCTATGGGTCCCAAGCACGTGGGCACCCCCAATAAACCCCACTATTAAGCGAGTCTTGGCTCCAGTTTAGAAGCACCTTGGCATCTAGAAGACAGTGTGTAGAGACTCTTACATGGGAGCCCCAGAGTTCTTCCCGGGGCAGGATGGGTAGTGGACCCTCCTCAGCACCATCTTAGAGAACATATGCCCTCTTCCTTCAACTCTGCATCAGATGCTTTGTCCTAGTGTCTTCTTTACTGCTTACATTCTCTGAAGAGACAAGTTTGCGGGCCTGGAGAAGTAGTTCAGTGGTTAAGAGCTTTTGCTGCTCAGAGGAGGTCAGTTTGGTTTCCAGAAACCATGCTGGGCGGCTCACAATCATCTGTATCTCCAGCTCCAAGGGATCCAACACCCTCTTCTGGCCTCTATGGGGACTTAAACTCATATGTCACACAGACACATGCACATGAATAAAAAAATATTTTTAATCTTAAAAAATACCTTTGGAGGTTTTTTTCACTTAATGAACAAAATGGGTTTGTTTGTTTGAATTGGCAATAGCTGTTTTTGGGGGAATAAAAAGGTCAAACTATTTCATAATATTATTATTTTTTTCCTCAAGATTTCAAGATTCCTAAGAAATACCTGCCTAAGTCACTGTGCTGTTGCTGCTGCCAAGAGACACCAGGGCCATGGTAATTTTTTTTTTTTTTGAGACAGGGTTTTTCTGTAGTTTTGGAGCCTGTCCTGGAACTCACTTTGTAGACCAGGCTGCCCTCGAACTCACAGAGATCTGCCTGCCTCTGCCTCCTGGTGCTGAGATTAAAGGCATGCACCACCACCGCATGGCTGCCACACAGCTCTTATGAAGGAAAGCATTTAAGTGGGGGCTTGTTTACAGTTTCAGAGGCGAAGTCCATTATCATCAAGGCAGAGAATATGGCGGCTTATAGGCTTAGTACTGGAGAAGCAGCTGAGAGCTGCACCCTGATCAGGAAGGACTGGGCCTGGCATGAGCTTTTGAAACCAAATATTTATTTATTATGTATACAATATTCTGTCTGTGTGTATTCCTGTAGGCCAGAAGAGGGCACCAGACCCCATTACAGATGGTTGTGAGTCACCATGTGGCTGCTGGGAATTGAACTGGAGACCTCTGGAAGAGCAGTCTGTGCTCTTAACCTCCGATCCATCTCTCCCTCCCCCAACACCCTCCCTCTTATAAGGCCATATGGACTCCAACAAGGTTACTGTAGGTAGATTTTTCTGTCCCGCCAACCAGCTTCCCAATCACAACTCACAGACTTATTAATTCTGAAAGGGCAGCCAATCGCTTTTGCTTGTCTCGCTGGCTCTAATAACTTAATTAACCCATTTCTATTCACCTATGTGCTGCCGCTGACTCGTGACATTTACCGGTCCTCCTGCTGGCGACTCTACCCTTCTTCTTCCCAGCATCCTCTATGTCTTGCTCTCAGTCTATACCTCAGGTGCCTTAGTAAAAACGCATCTTCACATTGTACAAAAAGGTTATTCCACAACAGGTCACAACCTTCTACCCTTCTCAAATAGCAGCAGTCACACCAGCCCTGCCTCAGGATTTTAATCTGCCACTCCCCTAACTTCACAAATAAAACAAAGCAGGACTATGATATAAATGAGCTACATTGCCCTAGAAAATGCCCACAGTCCTCTGCCTGTAGATATCCAGCTGCTGAGGGTGTAGCCAGGGCGAGGGTGAAGGTCAGCCGTGTCTCTGGTGGGTGGGTGGGGGCATTATCCATGAGTGTTTATGTGAGTAGGAAGCCACCTAAGGGAAGGTGAAGTGGTCCAGTTTTGGGGTCTGAGGTAATGATCAGACTCTATGAAGGGTCTACTTGGTTCTCACTTAACATCTTTAATAACCCAAGGCCTGCACCTGCCTTGGAACAGTATACTTTCTGAATGAACGAACGAGTTGTCTGTGCTCAGGCCTTAGCTCTGCCACCTACCAGACATAAGATCATGAGCAAGTTCTGGGGTCTCTCTGTCCTCTGCAACGCGTGTCGTGGGGATGCTTGCTTCTGGGTTGGGATGGAGATTAAACGAGCCGGTGTCCGAGCCCTGATCATGATGCACTCAGCCGCTGAGCACGGTTACGGCTTTGACTTTTTGTTTGTTTTATTTGGTCTGGTTTTTCAAGATAGGGTTTCTCAGTTTAGCCCTAGCTATACTGGAACTCACACTGTAGACCAGGCTGGCCTTGAACTCACAGATATCCACCTGCCTCTGCCTCCTGAGAGCTAGGATTAAAGGCATGTGTCATCACTGCAGGGCAGACTGTTCTGAATTTTTTTTCACTCATGACATTTGGAATTTCGGGTAAATGGTCCATGAAAAGCTATCTCCGCTGGGTTGCTGTATCGGCAGCCTTTTTGCTACTAGCAGGAGTCCACGGCAGTTAGTTTTGGGTTGGTTTGTCTGTTTCCTGCCAGCCGGATTGCGAGATCCTCTGCTTGGCTAGAATTGACTGTGAGCAGGTAAGGCACTTCTCTCCTGTCCTGAGAGAGCGCGTGCGCATGCGCCCACTGGCTTGAGCGCTTCGGAACTCCCGCCTCTCCTAGCAAACCAGGAAGTGTCTACCCCTCGAAAGGAGTGGGCTAAATGCCCCCCCACCCCCCCGTGAAAAGAAATGAGAAAGAAGGGGACCGAGATTTTAGAAAACGAACTTGTAAATAAAAGTAAAAGATAAGTGACTTGGAGATTCTCGAAGAGCTTGGAGTTGCCTTAGCCAAGTTCCCCATTATATTATAATTCTCATGTCAAAGATAATGCGAGTTTGGGTTCTTCCCTCTCATCAGCCAGGCATACAGTGCAGGGGAGTTCCCGTCACCATAACCTCACCCCCTTCTTTTTGCTTTTATGGTTTTTGAGGCAGGCTTCTGTAACTCAGGCTAGCCTCAAACAATATAGCCAAGGATTTCCTCAAACTTCTGAGCCTGCTTTCACATTCCAGTGCTGAGGGATTACAGGCTGGATGTGGGGTGTGGTACTGGGATGGACCCAAGAGTGCTAGGCAGACACCCTACAGCTCCCTAATGCCTCTGAAGAAGGAAGTCATATTATGTCTATAGATTCTGCACTGTTACCGTATTACACACACACACACACACACACACACACACACACACACACACGCTACCCTAGTCCCCTAATCTCTGGTTTCTTTAAAAGAGAAACTGTTTATTTTCAACTACTTTTCTTTAATTAGGCTTTATCAGAAACCGTCCCTCCCTGCTCTTCTCTAGACCAAGTGGAATCCAGGGCCTTCCTCATTTAGGATAGAATTACTCAGAAGAATTCGAACCCGAGTCCCAGGATAATATTTGTAACTTTCGAAATCCGCACTTTAGCTACAATTTATTGAAGAAAAGGATCCTTCTCTTCTGCAGCAACTCTGAGAAGAAGAACCATGTTTAGCTCTGTCGGGGAAGATAGCCTCTCAAGTTTTCCACAGAAGCCTCACTAAAATGGAATTTAAAAAAAAGTCAGAAGAGGAGAAGCATGGCATTTCAATTCTATTATCCTTGTCATTTTATACCCGTCTGGAGTTTCTCAAGCTTTGAGACAGAAAAGACAAAAAAAAAAAAAAAAAAAAAAAAAAAAAAAAAAACCACACATTTATTTTAGACCTTTTTTTTATCCCTTAAGTTATGAATGCCTTTGCAGTCTCTTCCGCGAGTTGTCGTCAGGGAACTATTTATTTTGCTTCTTTACCTTGCAGACTGCTAACGGCTCCCAGCTAGGGCTCAACCCAACCCTCTTGTGCCCTGCAGTCATCACCGGCTTTGAAAGAAAACCGATTCTCTGGAATGCCGTGCGTGCACATGCCTGTCGGGGCAGCAGGCCCCACCTGCGGAGCAGGTAAACCAGATCCCACCGCGGCCTCTCCAGCCGCATTCCAGCCCCGCAAACCCTTCCTCTCTAATTGTTACCTGTCAAACAGGTCCACCAGGCACTTGAGGCTAGGCCAAACGTGCGCATGTTCCCACGAAACGCTAAACCTGCAAACCTTTGACCTTTCGGTAGCTCCCGAAAACCCCGCCATTATTTTCGCCAGGGCTGACGAAGATCCGAAGGATGACTTTTAACTGGTACACGGACTCATTTTTCTCCTTCCTCATAGATGTTGAAACTAAAGATGAACCTTGTGGGGTTTCTAGACAAGCGCACCAGGGGTAATCCAAGATGACAGGAAAGCCCTTGGGGGAGCCAGGGCTCCTGATGTGAAACCGACTAAATTCTTCATGGCAATCACAGCCTGCCCACCTTAACCAAAAGGTGAATAGATGGGAACCTGGTGAGTCAGGGGTGAAAATCGCTTTCTTCTCCTAGACTGTGTCCCACGTCTCAGCCCGGAAACTGCTCTATGAAAGGCCTTGGGCAGGTCCCCAGTACAGTCTGGACCTCAGCTGACTTCCCCAGTAATAAACAGGGCTGTCACCCAGGGCCCTGTGCAGCTTTGTTACCGATGTGGGTGTTCTGTTTTGTTTTGTGCTGGACGGACCACAAGGCCTCACATGTGCTGAGCAAGAGCTCTCTCTGCCTGCCAGTAAACTACACCAGTCCCTAGTCCCAGATCTCTCTTCTCTTACCAACTAAACTACACCAGTCCCTAGTCCCAATTCTCTCATCTCTTTCCACTAAACTACACCAGTCCCTAGTCCCAGATCTCTCTTCTCTTACCAACTAAACTACACCAGTCCCTAGTCCCAATTCTCTCATCTCTTTCCACTAAACTACACCAGTCCCTAGTCCCAATTCTCTTCTCTTTCCACTAAACTACACCAGTCCCTAGTCCCAAATCTCTCTTCTCTTACCAACTAAACTACACCAGTCCCTAGTCCCAGATCTCTCTTCTCTTACCAACTAAACTACACCAGTCCTTAGTCCCAATTCTCTCGTCTCTTTCCACTAAACTACACCAGTCCCTAGTCCCAAATCTCTCTTCTCTTACCAACTAAACTACACCAGTCCCTAGTCCCAGATCTCTCTTCTCTTACCAACTAAACTACACCAGTCCCTAGTCCCAGATCTCTCTTCTCTTACCAACTAAATTACACCAGTCCCTAGTCCCAATTCTCTCGTCTCTTTCCACTAAACTACACCAGTCCCTAGTCCCAGATCTCTCTTCTCTTTCCACTAAACTACACCAGTCCCTAATCCCAGATCTCTCTTCTCTTTCCACTAAACTACACCAGTCCCTAATCCCAGATCTCTCTTCTCTTTCCACTAAACTACACCAGTCCCTAGTCCCAAATCTCTTGAATGACATCCAGACCGAGGAGTCATGGGGCACCTGGATCAGCTGAGGACCAGGCTTGGGGACTTCCCTCAAGTCCCTCGAGTGGGAATACCCTGGGCTTCCCTTCTTGGGGACATGTGGGTAGAATACAGACTGTCTTAAAAACCATCCCTTCTTCCCTCTGTGTTTCCCCTCAGGATTCCATTCTCTCAAATTGGAAGCGACAGGGTATGCTTGTTTGTTTTGGTAACTGATTCTCAATTGTGTTCTCTCGGTAACAGATCCAAGACTGTGATGCCTGCCTCCTGAATCAAAAGCTTCCTGGACAGCTACAGACCTGGGACCCAGAGAGGAGGCCTGAATGAGTTGGTGACATCTGTCAGTCAGGTTCTTCACTTAGGGGGCTACAGGCAATGGAGAAATCGTAGGCTGGAGACGTCATGATCACAGAAACAAGTGACAAGGAAAGCGGTCTCCAAGGTGGCTCCCAAGACAGCTTCAAAATTCCAGCTTCAGAACACAAGCCTCCCCAACGAGGTTGAGACAGCGTTGGGCTGTCAGGCCAGTTTGCTGGGATCTTTCTCCCCCTCGGGCAGGACAGGTTATGCTACCAAAAGCTCAGAAGCTCAGAAGCTCAGGATCGAGTCATGCAGAGCAGGAACTGGCACTTCCTGCTTGGTCTGTCCAGTTCAGACTTGTTCACCAGAGCCAAACCTGCTGGGCTGGCTCCGGGGAGAGAAAGCTCCTCAGGGCCCAGAGCCGGCCTAGTGAGTATCCTCCTCCCATCTGCTCCTTTGCAGAGCAAAGGGTATCCTGTCAGAAGGCCTGTCTGACGTATGCTCTCCTTTCTGGGTCCTGGTTTGGAGCTCCCTCCCAGCCCCTAAGGAGTACGTGGCAGCCTGGGATCCATCCTGGTCATGACAGGAGACTGTGTCTGGTGCTATGCATGACCTCTGCAGCCCTCTCGTCTGTGTTTTCTTATTTAACCTCTCTGGTTGTCCCGGGTTATGAGGTGACCAAGCCTGACTGACACATGAAGAACGTACAGTTTAGAGATGTGGAAAGACTCACCTAGGGGCATTCAGCTAGTACAAGGGTGAGGTCACCTTCTAATCAGGGCGACTCAAGCCTGTGCTTTTTAAGACACTGCTCCAGGTGGTCTCTGCTTATTCCGAGCAGCCAGGGCCTAAACCACTGAACCGTCTCTCTAGCCTTTATTTTGATTTTAAATTATGTGTATTTGTGTATGTCTATGTGTTAGGGGAGGCTGCTTGTCCGTTTCCTGGCTGCCTAGACTCCTGCAATAATCACACAAAAATCTGTATTAATTGCAATACTCTTTGGTCAACAGCTTAAGCATATCTCTGTCTAACTCATATCTTAAATTAACCCATTTCTATTATATTTGTATCTCCACATGTCTGTGGCTTACTGGCAAGATTCTGGTGCATCTGTCTCCTGCAGGCAGTTACATGACTTCTCCTTGACTCTGCCTACTCTCTCCTCCTCTATCTGCTTGAAACTCCCACCTTGCCCAATTCTGCTAAGCCACTGGCTGAAACAGCTTTATTCATTAACCAATAAAAGCAACACATAGACAGAAGGACCTCCCACACCATCTATGTGTGGAGATCAGCAGGTAGCTAGCGGTGGTCAATTCTCTCCTTTTAACATGTGGGTCCCAGGAACTCAGGACCTGATTCAGGTTGTTAGGTTTGTTGGCAGACAACTTTGCCTGCTGATCTGGTTTCCCGGCACCTACACGGTGTTCACAACAATCTATAACTCAAGTTCCAGGGGATCTGATGCCCTTTTCTGGCCCCTCGGCACCAGACACATACATGGTGCACATACACACATACATATATATATATATATATATATATATATATATATATATCAACAAAACTCTCATACATCCCAAAACAAGTAAATCAAAAAAATCTTTAAGGAAAAATAAAGATGTTTTTATTGCACTGTGTGGTGATTCACACCTCCAATCCCTAGACTTAGATGGGGGAGGAGTTCAAAGTCATCCTCCACCCTGGAGAGAGCTACAGATCGAGACTGGGGTGCCTGAGTCTCTGTTTCCAACAAAACAGAAACTCATTTCTTATGCTGGCAAACCTTCAAAAGCCCTTCATCAACTGTGACAACAGAGGAACACTCTGCCTGTGTGTCGTGCGTTCCAGGACTTAAGAAAGGCTTTCTGAGATACAAAGTAAATCACAGACACTGCTATTTCCCTCCAGTTTTAGTCTAGCTGGGTAGACAAAATAAATGTATTTACATTAAGGCCAAAAGCAATGGGCAAGCGCAGGAGGGTAGGGGCGTAGGGTCAGAGGCCGTGTGTTTTGTGAAGGACACACAAGGCGGTGCATCTAAAGAAGTGAACAGGGGGCTGGAGAGATGGCTCAGTGGTTAAGATCATTGCCTGCTCTTCCAAAGGTCCTGAGTTCAATTCCCAGAAACCACATGGTGGCTCACAACCATCTGTTATGGGGTCTGGTGCCCTCTTCTCATCTGCAAACATACACACAGACAGAATATTGTATACATAACAAATAAATATTTAAAAAAAAGAAGTGAGCAGGAACTAGAATACGCTGGTTCTGACCAAGTCCAAATAAACCACCACAATGATGCTCACTGAGTGTCTCCAGGAAAAGAAGGTTTTAGGCCCTCATCATGTAACATATCATAAATGTTGTACATCATTCATTTAAATCTCATACCAATGCCGAAGGCCACCTCTGTTTCAGCGAAGAAACTGGGGTCCAGAGAGGATAATTCCATTGCCCTAACTAAACCAGTAAAATTTTAACATGAGTCTTTATTGGCCACAGCTACTTGAGGGGGATGAAGCGGGAGGAGTGGGTGGCACCAATGCCAGGCCGGCCGTGCTTCACAGGCTTGTAGGTGATGGAGAACTTGCCCAGGTAGTGGCCAATCATCTCCGGCTTAATCTCCACCTGGTTGAAGGTCTTGTTGTTGTACACGCCCACCATGCTCCCCACCATCTTGGGCAGGATGATCATGCCCCCCAGGTGGGTCTTCACCACCTCGGGCTTCTCCATGGGCGGCGCCTCCTTCTTCGCCTTTCTCAGGCGTTTGAGTTGTGAGTGCTGCTTCTGCTGCAGGCCGCGGTTGAGGCGTCGCCTCTGCCGGGCTCTGTAGAGCTCCATCAGCTGCTCATAGAACATGTCCAGCAGCTGGTCCAGGTCCACGCCAGGGTAGGTGAACTTGTGGAAGGTCCGCTTCTTCTTCTGCTCCACGTCGGCCATCTTGACGGTGACTCGGAAAGGGCCAGGGTTTCTCTTTGTAACCACCCTGACTGTAGTGAAACTTGAAACCTGGCTGTTAATGAACTCACAGAGATCCACCTGCCTCTGCCTCCCTAGTGCTGGGATTAAAGGTGTGCACCACCATTGCACTGCCCTGCCCTGCCGTGAATATATTTCTAAAGACATAAATACACCTTGCTCAGTTTTTATAATGTCACTTGTGTGTGTGTTTTCAGGGCTGACCATTGCCTGATCCTTTAAACTGACTTTTGGTTTGGGGCTTGCTTAGCCTGGAAGAATTTCAGCTAAAGATCCAGCAGTGTGAGAAGTAATGTAACCGTTGACATTTTAGAAACAGTCAAGAAGGCCCGGAGGATGTTGCAATTGCATCTGAGACTGCTCAATGGTTCTCGTGGGAAACTAGCCCTTCTCCTAAAATCCAGTCTGAAAGGATTCTGGGGTTAAATAAAACTAAGACATCAAGATTCATAACCATTTTTCTGGAATGAGGAATATGTTCAGTTTCTGTTTTTTTCTTCTGTGTTTCATCCAGTGGCCCAGGATGGCCTTGAACTTGCTACCCAGAGGAAGATGCCTTTGTGTCTCACCTTCCTGCCACCACCTCCCAAATTCAGGGATTGTATAGATGTGTGCTACCATGCCCAGTTTGTTTTGTTTTTCTTAGACGGAGTCTTGCTATGTAGCCCAGGCTGGCCTCAAACTTACCTTGTAGCCTAGGCTGGCCCTGAGTTTCCAGCTGTCCTCTGGCCCTAGTCTTCCATGTGCTGGAATTGCAGGTGGTGACACCAGCCGTTCACATAGATGGTTGCAGTCCATTGTAACTATTACAAAAGTCACTAGCTTTTGACTGTTGGGATGTGGTAAAATTATCCATTATTTCAAAACACGTGAATAGGGCTGGAGAGATGGCTCAGAGGTTGAGAGCATTGCCTGCTCTTCTAAAGATCCTGAGTTCTATTCCCAGAAACCACATGGTGGCTCACAACCATCTGTAATGAGGTCTGGTGCCCTCTTCTGGCCTGCAGACATACACACAGACAGAATATTGTATACATAATAAATAAATAAATAAATAAATAAATAAATAAATAAATATTAAAAACAAAAACACGTGAATAATGAGAATTATAATATGAACTGGGCATAGTGGTGCATACCTTTAGTCCCAGCAGTTGGGAGGCAGAGGCAGGCAGATCTGTGAGTTTGAGGTCAGCCTGGTCTACAGAAAGAATTCTGGGACAGCCAGGACTGTTAACTTAGAGAAACCCTGTCTTGAACCCCCTCCGCCAAAAGAACTATAGTATGTATTTTATAGACCGAAAAGACATTTATTTATCCCAGGTAAACTCTCACGCAGTCCACAGGAGACGTGGGACAGATGATCAGTGTGTGGCTATTGTGTTGGGAACCTCGGGGCAGTGTGGATGGCTGTTGGGAAGGGGGTGCGAACATACCAACCTAACACAAGCTAGAGTCACCTGGATTGAGGGACCCTCAGCTGAGGAACTGCTTCCATCAGACTGGCTGTGGGCATATCTGTGGATTGATGTAGGAGGGCCCAGCCCACTGTGTGCAGTACCGTTCCTGGGAAGGTAGGTGGTCCTGGGCTGTAGAAGAAAGCAAAAAAGGCAATAAAAAGTGTTCTCTCTGTCCCGTGCTTCAGTTACTGCCTCCAGGTTCCTGTCCTGACTTCCCTCCGGGATGGACTCAAACGAGGAAGCTAGAATAAGCCCTTTCTTCCCCAGCTAGGCTCTGTCAGTGTTTCAACACAGCAAGAGAGACATAACTTGGACAAGGTGGAGCAGACTTCACGTCACCACTCTGAACACATGGACGCAAGGAGTCCTGAGCACAGCACAATAAATGAAACAAAGACACAGGCATTTAAAAAAATAGCAAAGTACATTGAGAAGGTTTGTATACGACTGGACCGTAGTTCGCTTGTTGCACACTTTCCCAGGATTCCTGAGGCCCAGGTTACACAACAACAGTCACGGAAACACAAAGTGTGGAAATACAAGTTTACATTGGTCGATGTTAAACAGGGCGAGAGAGCCTGTAGGGAGGAAGGGGTGCGGAGAACTACTGAGGAGCTGTGTGTCAGTGCTGCGCAGTGATAAACACGCCACTTCCACGCCACTCTGAGGCAGAGCAATCAGAGGTGAGATGCCTGGCAGCC